GTGCCCTGTCCCGGCTCGGCAGTACCTGCTTCAGCTCCAGCCCCAGCCCCACTCCTCCCTCACTGCAAAGGCCTTGATCTGCCCCTGCACGTCCCTTCCTCTCCCCTTCCCTTCCATCACAACAGATTTACCAGCTGGACGCAGCTCTTAAAGCTGCAGAGCTACGTATCATAAATCAGATCAGTATCGAACAATATGCCTCCTTAAAAATCGGCTATTGGTATCGGCTCCCAAAATCTCTATTGCTGCACCCCTACATAGGACTCATCTGATAGTTTATGACAGCTCATTTTAAGTAAAAATGAAATTCCCTTGGGTGGGTGGCAATGTTATAATCCCTAGAAACAGTTTATTTTTGTAGAAACCCAAGTTTTTCAGTTCAGAAGTTATTATTTATACATATAAATTATACATTATTTTATGTAAACATTATTTCTATGGGTCTTTTTTATTAGTCCATTAATAAAGCTATGGAGAAGGACCATGAAGAATATAACATTGGGGTCCTGGACATTTATGGATTTGAAATATTCCAGGTAAGGAAAAAGCACTCCCCCACCGATCAGAACAAAGGGAATGTGAACTTTCTGGGCATTCTTACAAACTTAAGTGCTTAGCAGCAACATCTCACTTAATACAAATAAAATAACAAAATGAGTTTTGAAAATCTCAGTCAGTGGTCTTGATCCTCAGATTTTGCAATACACAGGATAATCGTAAAATCAGCTACTCTCCAGCACTGAAAATGGTCCATTGAAACCTCTCTGGATATTGATAATATATTATATGAAAAGCTATTGGATGAAGAGCACAAAGCTAACATTTTAATTGTTCCTTTGTTTTATTCTAGAAAAATGGTTTTGAACAGTTTTGCATCAACTTTGTTAATGAAAAACTGCAGCAGATTTTTATAGAACTGACACTGAAAGCAGAACAGGTAACCAGTCATCATTTCTGAGCTCAAATTCATAGTACCAGCTGTCACCCTTTCATTTGATAGTAGAATGAGGTTTCAACCGTTGACGGTAAAATTTGCCTTGCAAAGCAAGACAAAGAAATGCTCCTTGTGGCTGGCTAGCCTTGAAAATGTAAACAGCAGTTGCAGACACAATTACTCCTTGCAACAATGATACAAAAGTGAGTCTCTCATACAATGTACTCATGCAGTCCTATGACTCTGCCGAGACTTAGTGCATGCTCTGACTCATTGACAGAAATGGAAAACTGCAGCTTGATTTCATCTCTGCATTTTCATTGGCCATGGCACAAAAAGTTAAGTAGGAAAACACTATTTCTCAGTTTCCTCCACACTTGCTTTTCCCTATATTTAGTGAAAAAGAGACTTTAGCTAATTTGTCTGCACTTCTTTTCACTTCACTTATTTTACCTTTTAAAATTATAAACTTATTCTCTGCCCTAATTTTTTTCCAAATTTTGAGGAATTCTACATGGGAGATCAATGACACCATGCAACATAGGTCCCTAGCACACATTCATTTAAAGGTGCCATAGGATCTGATTCCTAATCTCAACAATCACACCTCATGCCATACCACATCTGCACAGCAGAACCGGTCCCAAAACTGCATCTCCTGCCTCAGGTGTTGTGAAGCTTGTTTTGTTAATATTTACTTAATAGAATTCGAAAGATATGCCGATGGAAAACTTCTGCTTTTATTAGTAACTGCTCAAGCCATCTGAATGAAAACATGCACTAGTTTTTTGTAAGTTCTGCAGCTGTGCAGTATGAGTTTTCACATAACACAACCATAAATCTGAAATCTGGGAGGCTTAAGAGATCTGAGATGCAGAGGAAGATGATGTAGCTGCTGTGCTTGTGATCACTATTATCACCATTTGATTGAACTTACTTTGATAAGGCCAGACTCATCCCTGGCATGACTCCACCATGTGCTTGAATTCTCCACAAAAGAAATAGCTCATTATTTGCATCCTAGAAATAGGCCAGGCAAGAACTATTTTTACTGTTTATGGCAAGCTTACAGGAAACAAGCTTTTATTCACCATCTAGAAAGCTAAATACTTCCAGTATTGTTTGCTGACAGGTCTTTGTAAACATATTTCAATCCTGGTGAATTTGTGTATGCAGTATGCACAACCCACTTGTAAACCAATAAAATGACTGAAATATTTGGGTCTTTTTTTCTGTCTCGCAGGAAGAATATGTGCAAGAAGGAATTAGGTGGACAGCCATAGATTATTTCAATAACAAGATAGTGTGTGATCTCATAGAAAACAAAGTGGTGAGTCTTTGTCATAAATACAGATGCAAGAAACTGAGAACATTTTTGTCCAACTAAATTAATCACTGGGATTGCATTGCAGTCAACCAAGTCAAGATTTACCATGATTTTGAATGAAAAAAATACTAATTTTCTATGGAGCTGAAGTCCCTCCACCTCCCCAAACTCTACTGTGTATCCACGTACAAACCCTATAGTCTTTGAGACTAGTTTAGATCAGTGATGCACAACTTTTTTGCTGTGCAGACTGGATGGACAATGCCAGGTCCCCCCATGGGCTGGATCTGGCTGCCGGTTCCATTTTGGCTGCAGGGGGTTGTACAGCCTGACTCTAATCCGTCTGCCCAGGATGGGGGCAGGCGGGATGGAGCTGCCCCAATCTGGATGCTTGGGGTGGGGGAGGTGGGTAAGAAGCAGCCTAGTCCCAGTCTCGATGCAAGCAGGGGTGGAGAGCAGCCCAACCCCAATCC